CAAAAGTCAAGTCTTCATCCTTCCCTATTAGTGGGCCAGTGCTCATGGTGATGTTTCGTGGTAGGGCTGGTAAAAGTACGAGATATATAATATTTACTCCATTATTTATTATGTTATATACAGTTTTCAACAAAGAATTGTTGAAAATCCAAAGTATTGGTCTCAAAATGCCTAAAAAATATATGGAGAATATTTTTATTTTAAGATCCCACAAACAGCCCCCTCTCCTCTCAAATAATAGAACAAAGCTGGCAGAATATTAAATAAATAGGACCCTCTGTGAGCACTAATACTTTCAATGCAGCACCAGAACGGGTAGGTCTACGCTGTGCTCACAGGATTCCTTCTTTTTACAACTTCCTGGATTTATACGCCTGAGTGATGAAGTAGAGACGTCAAGATGATGACTAACAAGAGACCATGTTATACAAACCACTTGTGCAGAGCAGAATGAGTTTCTGGTGTAAAGAATCAGGAAGTTTAACAAAAACACTAGTGGAGTAAAAGCCATAGTTGTCCAGTGTGTGATTAAGCACTCTTGAGAGAATGTCCTCTCCAAGATACTTAGTGAACAATACAATTGTATATATGCCAACACTTTCAATGTCATTAAAAAGTCTGCAACAGGTTTTGGATAAATTACCTCAAGCACCAGTGAGGAGGTGGCCACACAGACCTGATTATAGCACAAAGGAAGGGCAGGAGTTTCTCATGAAAGCCAAAACACAGCTGCTCAGTTTCAGGATCCTAAGAAAAGAGTCCTCTAGTAAAGTTCGTAAGTTAATTCTTTCAAATTAGTATAATTTGAATTTTTCACTTGAAATATATTTTAACTTTATTCTGGTCATCTAGAGGTGGAAAATAATGTCTTCTTTAGGGAAAAGCGCAAAACATCCACTATCAAGTCACTCTGGTGAGCCACTGTGCCTGTGGAGGTGGCCTTAAGGGACCAACAGGCGCTGGCCTGAGGGTCACCAACAGAGGAACCACTGAAGGGACCATCTTACTGACAGAAGTTCTTCCAAACCAAGCGATTCGTTATCAATAACTGCAGTTACACCACATTAAAAGGACAAAGTCCATACAAAACTTTTGCCCGCAAAGGTGGTTTTTTTTGTGGGTTTTTTTGCTTTGGTTGGGGTTTTTTGTTGTTGGTTATTTTGGGGTTTGGGGTTTTTCTTGTTGGTTTTTGGGATTTTTTTTTTGGAGGGTGGGCTGGGGATAACACAAATTTCACCTCATTGTTAGCAACAGGCTACATTAAAAAAAACCCAAACCCTCTAAATTGCTGTGAAGCTGTACCACAAACTGAGACACCTGACAAGAAAATTCAGTCCAAAACACTACGATAATAAAGTATAAGAACTGTACACGTCACTAATTTCTTATTTTCCATTAGTGTTTGGGATCACAAAACTAACAGAAACAGGCCTCAAATTAACAAAAAGTTTGGGAACTACTAACCAAGAAATGATTTCTAGATGTTTCAGATGAATGCCCTGCCAGCTCTACCATGATGCCCCACATTCCTCACAATAAACACCTCTTTCACAAGGCTCCTCCAGAATGGCTGCTACTCCTACCTTCCAGTATCTGCTTTTCCTAACTCTACTACTACCCTTCTTGGGAGGGGGCAGCGGAGTGATATCACTCTGGTTTAATTCAGTTTTACCTTAATACATGTACAGAATTGATTACACTGGAAAATAAAATATACAATCAGTAGAAAAGATACTTTTTTTCCTTCCATAAGGAAGAACCAGAAGAAATTTTAAAGAATCACAATATCATTTTATTAAATGTGATCAATCTAGTTTCCTGTTTCAGGAATTCAAAATACCTACTTGTGGATCACAGGCAAAGCAATTTAAGAATGAAAAGGCTTCTTGGAATGTAACACTTTGCTTTTATACCTTTTATGTTGACAACAGGCATAAACCATTACTTTAAAGTCAGATCTCCTTGTACCCCTTCATATGCAAAATTCTAAATAGCTGCAACAGAAGAGAGAAAGTAAAAAGATATCTCATTTTTCATTTAAAAATAGAGCTCCCAGCCTGGAGAAACAATGAGGCATCACAGAAGATCATGCAGGAATGAGAACAACTTTATCTACCGGTGCAAGTGACAATAAGTTTTGAAAGGCAACAGCTCAGAGGTGAAAGTTTAAATTTAGGCAGCAAGAGATCTTCAAACTCTCCATCTGGGAGCCAAGTAAAGTGTTTTGTTTAAGCCTGAGTGCTTTACTTTGCCAAATATATCCGCTGACGTCCTTGTGAAAATGTTAAGAGACCAGAGAGGATGGGAACATAACAACGATATGTAAAGAGTCAGGGAAGTGTGCTACATCCAGAGCACGCGTGCGCCCACGTCTCGTCCAGTTCAGAAACTTGTAACTTTGCTCAGTTGAAAATGGGATATTTCACCATATTATATGACAGCCTTCCATCAGATATGACATATTCATGAATCGTGTTTTGGTATCATCTTCCTTGGAACACTGGTTGCATTCAAGTACAACAGAACATACAGCAACACAGAATTCAGGTCCATTTTTACCTGTAGTGGAATTAGTTCCACTGTGAATTTCTGTGACTCAGTCTTGGCAAGTTATCAAACCAAAATCAACATACACTTGTATTCTATGCAAGTCTCCTACATTTTGTTCAACTTCTGTAACAAAGGAGACCAAATTGGTAATTCTTTTAGACAGTATTCTAAGTCAACATCCTCGGCTAAGTCATACTCCCTGATTTCTCGCATTAAGTGTTAATCATTAAACCAGTATCAGATAATAGTCTAAGTCCACACGAAGTGATTTTCTAAACCAGCCAGCTCTCCACTTCTTCTTCTAACTGCTACATTACTCTAATTGCATTCTGTGTGTTTTCCCAGCACCTGGAAACTGCATCACAGATCAGAATTCCTGAACTGGTAAGATATCAAGGTTTATTGATAGGAATAAGAAAATCTTACTAACCTCAAGTAAGGAAAGAAGAGGGGAGATGCCAAAACCCAGCAGCAGACTCATCTGAGGCATCAATCAACTTACACATTTGAGTTTTTGCCAGAAAGTAGTGAGCAGACACATTATTCACACTTTTCCCTTACCCTTTCAGTCTCTATCAAGGCGATTACAACCTTATCAATTCTGCAAGTCACTAAACAGGTATACCTAGTTTTTTATTATTTTTAGATATAAATAAAAATAACAGGTTAGTCCTGCTAAACGGTGACCCAAGCCAGCTTCCACTGAAATCACTGAGAATCACACTTACTTGTGGGGCAGGAGGGAGAGGGTGGGACCCCAAACTTCCTTTTGTTGACAAAAATACAGTGTCAGACACCCAATCTTTCAACATACATTAAAAACAACAGCCACAGTTGAGCATTATCCTTCCCTCCCACATTCAGTATTTAACAGAAATGGTATTTTCTTCTCCTAATACTTGAGATAAAAACATTCTATTATTTATGTACTATTTTTTCTTCTTTTAAACCAGCACCCAAAAGATAAGAAGTGTTTTGGTGGGCTCTGCTCTGAAGCCTCCAAGATGCCTATGGGCCCCATATGGATCTAGAATTGTAATGTTCAAAGGGACTGATCTGCCTGCAATCCAATAATGGTTCTGCTGGTAAAATCTGTGCATCCAACCCACTCTGCTTTCAGTTTATTCATCATCAGTTTCCTTTTATCCTGCCTCATATACAGCACAATTCATATATTAATCCCTGTCACTTCTACCTGAAGTAATAATTTCCAAGAGATCAAAATGTCCAATTCTTCACTTGATCTAGACAAATAAGGCCCAGTGTATTTCCTTTTTCTAAGAAAATCAAAGACACACTAGTCTGACACAATCCATCTCTGACAGAACTAAAACACACTGTATCCTGTT